TCTCTCTCTAGAGCAACTTCAGCCTTACATACAGACCCCTCTTTCTACTCAGACTAAACCCTTAAATGGCCATAGATACTTAACTGCAAAACTTAAAGGCTAAAACCAACTCCTTACTCTCAAGGCCTGCAGACCCTTCTTTTCAGTAGGATTAAATCCTTAAACAGCCTGTAGATACTTGGCTGCAAAATACAGTCACATTACTTCATCAACAAGAAGCACACAGTAGCTCTGCGATGCTTTAGTCAAAGAACTGAGGACTACCCAAGCCCGTCACTGAACCTCACTTAACTGACACGTTTCTTGGGAAAGAGGGAGCTGATGTAGCCCTGTTTAAGTAACAACTGATGTTCACAACTCCAAACTCTGAAAACGCACACACATGCAAGCACACAAGGTTATTGCAAAAAGCCATACTTTGTAGCTGTAATCTCAGCACCTCCCTTGAGCTTCACTCTCTTCATAAAACTAAATTGCAAGGATTTCATTTAGCTAATTACCATTGTTTTGCTACCATGGAACATTTCTTGTTCATTCTCAATTTGGAAATAAAGATTCAATAGAAAAAAGAGTAAAACAGCGGGGTTTGGGTGGGCTGGGGTTTTTTTCCCCCCTTTCCCCACCCCATTCCTCTCATACTTTCTGTATTCTGATGAAGCTACTTCCAGGCTAATTAGAAAGGGCTCAAATCAAAAAGTGCCAGATCCAAACCATCACACCCCTGTGAAAGTTCAGTGCTGGAGACAACACTGCTCCTCAGACTTGGGCATAAGTGATCCTCTGCCAACTACCAAAACACAGATCTGTTGGGAAAGTAACAGTCCGGAGTAGATACTTTTGAAAATAGTATCAAGGAGGGTTGATCTAATTTCTGTAGCAGATTTTTTAAAAAAAATTTTAAAATATCAGGAAAGATGAGTTTCTTACAGAAAACAGAAAGACAAACTAGACTTCACAGAGGCTGCAGTCCTTTAAGAAAACCTTCTTTGAACAGGACAGCAGCTAAGAAAAATGGTGCCAGTCAGAAGAAAAGTACACACATGGCTACACAAGAAGCAGAAAACACAAGTTTATGGCTGGTTACAGAAGAACCTTGAGACCCTAAGTCAGATGCTCAAAGCACCTGGGTGCAAATACCTTCCTGCCTTGCAAAGGAGGAGGGAGAGGTAGGAAAAAACAAATCAAGGTACATCTATATGAAACTGCACAAAAAAAATTAAGAATTCGTCCTTGGTGACAATAGGCTTTTGCAGTCCCAACAACATTACAGCAAATTAGATATCAAGTCTTTGTCCCAAAGCTAGTTAGAGTTTATGTAGAGATTCTCATAGATTTCAGATATCTTTAAAACAGTTTTTTTTGATGGCACATCACAGAAAATATCAGGTTTTTGATTAATTTCACTTGTGTCCAGCTCTAAAGTTACAATCTGTGACCTGTATTTTGTAATTATCCCTTAAGAAAAAATACCCATTGTCAAAGGAAAATTTGTTCAGTTAAGGAAAATGTAAGGGTTTTCCCTAGAAGCATCGATCTACCAAAATAGCATTTCTAAAGAAAACTGCCTCATGCCTAGAAGTTGCTGCAGTACTGTTTTGTTTTTCTATAATGAAACCCTAATTCAGAAGAGGTAAGATTTATTGGTCAGTTTATCATCTAAGGAGGAAATGAAGGTAAGAAATGAGATTCAGGAATGCTGCTACACATAGGTCATTTAACCCACCATTGTAATTAGCACTTGTACAAAATAGAATGAAGAAATTGGAAGAACATCAAGAATACTTTCATCACATTCTTGGAGTTTCTATTTTTGAAACATTTCTCAAAACAATTTACTAAAATTACAATTTAATATAGGTGACTATATAAAATACATAAACCCAGGCTAGTGCACTTTGACAGTAGAAGTTGGACTCCTCTGTGATCAATGGCTAATAAAATAACCTTTGTTTTATCAGCAAAGATAAAAAGAACAAGAGCCCTGAAGATGTTAAAGGAGACATCCTACACAGCACTATGATGGGACTAGTTGAGAATTCCTCTTTACAGAGACTAAAGAAAAAATGGAGGGGGAAAGTCTCCAAGTGTCCTACTCACTGTCCCATTGAGGAGATATTTGGATATTCTGGACAAGAAATAATAATAGAAAGACAGAGCATGTATTTTTTTAAATAAGTTTTTTTTTCTGGGAGACAGAAGTCATGTAATACAATCAAGCAGATCCCCTAAGTGTACTGCCCTGGACCACAGCTGCAGTTGGTGGCCAGACTTGTTTCATTCACTGTTATAAACATCCTCTCTGTATTCTCTGGTGCAGTAAATCACTTTGAGTGTAAGTGGGAGGAACTACAAAATTAATCTCCTGTCCTCTCTTGCAGTCACAGCACTACTTTCCCTACAACCACATCAGAACCCTCCAAACAGTTGCCATGCAATTATGGGAAGCTCATGCTCCATTTCAGCAAGCTACGTTCCCACCCTACCCTCTCTTCTGTGTGAATGTGGACAACAATAAACAAGCGAAGAGTTCCTCTGCAGCCTTCTTCTTCTAGACGTTACAAAACAGCTTTTGGTGACGAGTCCGTGTCACCCCATATGGTACCCACGCACACCGTGAAATGGCAGATAACATGAAGCACACACGCTCCTGTTGTGCACACCAGCAAATTTTGCTGATCCCCTTGTGCAGGACAGGAGGATGCATCATTCACCTGAGATAGTATCTCTACAAAAGGGCCACAAGACTTGAGAACAGAACAAACACAAAACTTCAGGTGCCATCATTCTCAGCCACTTTAGAGAGGAAGGGGGTGGTTTAAGGGAGTTTCTGAAGGAGAAGATCCAGAGGGGTGGATTCCCACCCAGAACAACATCCCTTCTTCCTTGTGCTCTCTGTCTTCTGTCTTTCAAGTGGTCCGAACCAAGTAAGCACTTTGAAACACCCAGGAACTTGGCATGATTTCAAATCCAGGTACAAATATTAAATGCTCCTCCTAGTTTCTAAAAGATAGTTTGCACTACACTTCAGCAACTAACTTCACCCATTTAAACAGTTCTCTTTTCAGACCTGGCACCTTCAACTATCAGAGCAGATCAAGAACAGCAATAGGCATTTTGCCTTTCAAGTGAAACAATATCCTAAAGCCTGTACTTTGTTACCAAGTTCTAAAATCTGCCCCATCTTGGCCCTCAGGTTCAGCACTTCATTAAATTTAGTCTTAGCTTGAGCAACAGAAGCTCTAAGGAAAACTCTGAGGATATCTTTTCTTTAGGACTCTTACCAGGTGTTTAATGGGGCAAATGTGTGATCTTACAATATGTAATGGAGACATTTTATGAATTGCAATGAAGCTGAAAGCCATCATGTGGATGGTATTACATTAGAAACCTCACCTGTGTTCCACACACACCAACTTTGTCTCTCTGAGGCAAAGCTGTCACATAAGCACTCAACAGATAACTAGGAAAATTTACTCTACATCCCTCAAAGGCTCCCATTTAAAAAAAGTACATTTAAAATACGTTCTGTACAGCTGTTGTCTTACCATTTGCCTTGTGTTGCACATCTGGCGGAAACTGGCCAGGAACATACCACTGATAGTCTGGCTGCACAGAACAATAAAACATCATTACAGCAATATGGACTTCACAGACACTTCAAACAAAAGAATAGTGACATGTTACAAACATAATTGTACTGTGAAGTTTTTTTATTAGTCATACAAGAGTAGTTTACAAAAAAAAAATCTTTTATTTAGATTTATATTTCCACTGATCAACTCTCTCAGCTTGCTTCCCTATTTATGACATGTGGTTTAGATGCTGCACTCATTAGAAATATTGGTGTAAACCTTTCTAGATCCCACAGAGCAAAACAAATCAGATTTTAAAAGAGCTTTATGTGGCTAAGGAATAAACTGCACCAGAAGATACTAGCAGGCATCACAATTTTAACTGGCTCCATCCTCTGTACTAAAGAAGCCCAGAGAAACCTGGTACACATCAACCTGACAGGTGAGGCTGTTCCAGTTTGAATATGTATAACACATGTAATATGTTTCAGCATGATAGGAGTAACCCATTTAATTAAGTTCTCTCCCCTCCTCCCTTCTGCACAGGTTAGCATTAGTGTTACAATTACATTAGCTGTTACCAAATAGCTTCTTGAAAATACTGTAGGACAGGAAAATTCCCCATCTTCCTTATAAGAGGAAGTATTGGGACGGTTATGTCTGCACAAACATGTTTTGTTCAGGGAAATCTTGGAAGAAAGAAATACTGCGTTACAGTTTATACCACACACAGTGGTAAATTAATAGCAAAGTACCACTAGAGAACACAATTTTGGGACCAGACACTTCAGCTGAAGCTGTATTAAACTGTCTATGTAGTTTGAGTGGTACATGCAGGCTTGTCAAATTCCAGGTAGTTACTTCTTCAAATTAGTTAAACTGGGAAAATAACTCTTGTTTTGCAGAAATTACTCTGACAAAATCCTGAGTAGTCCCAGGAAGACTCTTACAGATTTCAACTTGTGGGGAAGAAATTTCACTGACTTCTAAAGAAGTCTCACCTAAATTAAGATGGCAGGATGAAGAAAACAGATTTAACTTTTATGTATGCTGTCATTTGTAGTTACCTAGCAGTAACCACTATCAAACACTGTCAGAAAAAAAAAAAAAAAAGAAAAAGAAAAAAAGGAACTGTCCTATTTTCACTGAAATTATACCATCCACAGGAATTCTTAACTAATTCTATGCTTTTGGGCAAACAAAACAGGCTTTGATATAAAGGAAGACTCTGCTTTACTTTAAGCACAGGTAGTTTTTCCACTAACGGCTCAAAATATACTTATTTGCATTGCTTTTTTTGAGTTTCTGGTGAATTTTTTGTTCTCTGATCTACTCCTGTCTTTCACAGGTACTTACACTGCAAACTTGAATGAATTTCAGAGCCAAAAGGTGTATTTCATGTCAGACTAAACAAAATGCTTCTACTAACAATGTAAAAAGGAACAAAAAGGTGCAAGATGTAAAAAGAATGAAGAAGCAAAAGCACAGACTAAACACACAGGATTACATGTGTTAACTCAGGACACTCATTAAATTCTAACACCTTTCTTCATTGCTAACAAATTGCTCAGGGAGGTATCAAAAGCTCAGAGCAACAATGCTGCACTCACAGAGACAAAGAGTTTCAATGAAAACTCAGAAAGAAACTGGGATTTACAAAGCAACCAGTTAAACTGACCCCGGTGCTTGAATGGCAAAGTTGCAAACCCAGGGATCGCTCACAGAATTAGAAATCCAGATGATGAAAGTTCAGGGAGAAGAGCCAAAACAATTTGGGACAGTGTCCAAATCGCAGTGAAAAAACATTCTGCAGTACTTCCAACTCTGATAAATAGGCAGATAAGCACACTCCTGAAGCCTAGAAATTACTTCTTTGACCACAGCTTTTCCGCTGGATTTCTGCAGTCTGAAAGCCTTACATGCATCTTGCAAATTCACCTATAGCTTCTCAAATAATGAACACCTTTTGATCCGTGACAGTTTTAAAGCCAGAAACAGATATTATGTCTTTAAAATTACATTAACCATGTTTAAATGCATTCTCACTACATTTGAACAAGCACAACCCACTTAGATAACCCAAAGCACTTAAAAAAATATAATTCTTTGAAGCACTATTTTTCTTGAAATAGATAACTCCCCTTCACATGCCTTAGTGCAAAGCTGTTCTTCTTCACGCTGAGGAAGACAGGACCCTGTTCTGCGCCAGAAAAAAAAGGCAAATTTCCCATTGTGTTAGCCCCACTAAGACATAACTTCCCCTTCTGCTGAGGTTGGTTTTTTTTTTTTTTTCAGTGCACAGGCTTGCTTGGGAAAATTGCATTCCTAAAGCATTCACAGCCAGTGTCTCAGCCTCAGTAGAACCTTACTCCTCACATAATCCTGTTTCACAGCAGAGTACAAGAGGGAAGATACTGCTCAGTACAAGCACTGGCATCTGGGATTTCACCCTTACAGTTTAATTGCAGTGCTGTGTACCCTGCTGATAGCTTTCCTGCCTGCCCTAGAGCATGTACAGGGAAAGCGAGATTGTGCAGTCTGGCTACAGTGGTACTTCCTGATGGCAGGACAGTTACATTACCTATGAACACAAAAGCCATAGGTAAAGAAGAAGGAAAATAATGTTCCAAAGAGAGGGCCAGAGAAAGAAACACCCAGTGTTAAGATGTGGAAATAAGACACATTAGTCAACAAGCTTTCTTAGACCAAATAAAGGGCAGAGACCAGAATAGTGCTGACCGCAGCTACGTTCTCATTTTTGTCACTATCATTTATGTTGAAGGCCCAGAAATGGGTTCCAGAGAGCAGATCCATACCTATGAACCTGGGTGACTATATATAGATAGAAAAGGCTCTGAATCTGTGTCCTCAAAGTAAATGAATCTAAGAAACCAGCACGAGTCCAATCAAACAATCTTATTTTTTACACTAAGGAATGACCACCAGTATCATCGAAAACAAATGTATAATACGCCCCTTTTTCTTCTCAGTGCTATCATAGATAAATAGTATTTGCCAAAGTAAACTTAAAATATATAGGAATGTATATACTAAAAGTACAGCTCATCAACCATGTATTTAAATTGCTCAATTTTTCCTCTTTGTGCACAGATTTCTGTTGGTTACGCTTTGATGTGCACATGGCAGCACTCTGTGCAATTCAGTACCGAAGATGCTGGAACAGCAAGGAAGAAAAGAACAAGCCTATCAAGAGAAAATCAGCATTTTGGGGCAGAGAGCCAGGGAAGAGAGACTGCACAGAGATCAGGAGGGCTATTCCAGACTGAGGGCTAATTCTAAAACCAGTACAAAATCTTGATCTGGAACAGAGAGCAAACTGAGAAACAACAGATTTAGTCACTGGTGAGGATGGCACTGTGATAGCACCATGTTACTCTCCTGTGGTCATCCTACTGTGAGAAAACCAGTGCCCTTGTGAAATGGGAGACAGCGGAAACCTTACCGAGCGTTGTTGCTGCTCATGTGTCCTGCGAGATGCTGGATGTGCTCGAGGATCTTGGTAGTGAAGAACCAACCCACAACTCCCATAATTAACACATGGTGAGAGAAAGAGTGGAGGTGGGTAGCTGGGCCTCTCAGACTGCGCTGGGAGATCTTTTGTCTGTCAAAATATAAGAAAAGCAAGAAGAAATGCACTAGTAGTGGGAGATAACGACTGGCAGAACATTCACATACAGATTCATCAGTAAAAAGCAATGGGGAAGAAACCCTCCTCTCTCAGCACGGGTTGCAACGCTGCTCATTTAGCCCCTTCAGACTGTTCATGATCTAAAAGATGATTTAAGAAAGCTGACTTGTGCCATGCCAGAGTCTTTACACTTTTTATGTGAGAAAACACTGGTTTCAAGATATGGCAAGCACATTTCTGGGTGTTTTCTATATTTAAGAAACATTTTCATTACACACAGTAGCTTTCAGTAGTTTGAAACAGAACTACATAGACAGAGATTTGCATAACAATAAAAAATAGTTTTGGTAAAGGACCAAAGCCGATGGCCTCAAGATTTGGGTGTGCCTTTTCTTATGCCCTCTGTCTCCCAGCAGAGTCAACGGGAATTTGCTTAAGGACAGAGCAATGAAGGGTGAAAGATGAGTCACAACTAAATAATTTGACTTAAGAAAACAAACTAATAAATATTCTATATGGCTCCTCTCATGTTTCCCATCCTTCACAAGCTCTGCTTAATCAAATCCCAAGGCAGGAAAAGACAAACAAGATGATCTCTTGTGTAAACTCCCAGCGCCCCAACTACTCGCAGCGACTGCCTGTGGGTGTGCCTCTGCCTCAAAAATTTCCCATGGTAAAGGCAAGGCACTGCTCAGTGAAACTGCACAGGGGCAAAGGGAGCCATGGAGCAGCTCAGGCACTGCAAATTCACACCCTACCTGGTCTCTCTCTTCTGCCCATAGCCACAGATAAATTGTGGAACAAATTTAGGTCAGCAACTGCAGTTGAACACGCACAGAGGACAGTTCAATGCCTGGTGCTGAGCCTGCTTGCACAGGTGAGCCTCAGGTGCAATTCCAGCATCCTCCATCTCCACTAGAACATACCAGCGAGTCCCAGGACATGTCCCGTAGCTAATTTCCAGTTACACACAGAACTGCACTCTGGCAGGGTAAGAGAGGAGGAAGGAGGGAGGGTGCTTGTTCTCAAGATGTAAAGAGCTTGAACCCTCCAGCCTTTCCCGCCATGTCTAATGTCACTGACTTTGGTGGCTGACATACAGGAGGAGGTGCTGGGAGTGTAAGAAATTGAGATAATGCATCAATGCATCTGAGGGCCAGCATTGCGGCGACATCCAACAACAAGGTACAGGAAAATAAAAGCATATCTGCTGCTATAACTGCCTTTCTAGTAGTTCCATTATTTTCAGACAGGTCTTAATCTGTGGAGAAATGAAATATTCACCCTAATAAATCAACTTCTTGAAAGCGCATCCAAAGCTGTTCCTGTCAATGCAATGCAGGGACAGTCAAGTTGTACATACACATTACACAGCACTTGTACAGCCATTCACGAATGCTGTACACATGCACTGCAGTTGGCATTTCTTCTGGTCCAGAGCAGCCAGGCAGGAGTAGGAAAGGCCTTTTAGCCCCATTTGTAGTCCTTCCTCTTCACTGTCACTGCTGTGAAAGGTTTTCACAGCATCCATTGTCTAGCTGGGGTTGTACAAGAAATTTAGTCTTTTATAGTCTCTAGACAATGCAAAAACATATAGGAAGAAGGTGTCTTTGAGTATTTTGTCTCCTACAAAAAAAATTCTTTACCTTATTCAACTACGCAGGAGTGGGCTGGTGTGTGGGTGAAATATACATGAATGTTACCACATACAAGACTAACGGATTTGTCCTGGGTATTTCTATATGCCTGGGATGCCCTAAGGGGCAACCATTGCACTGCTATGTTTACACTTGCATGAAATGTTTCCAAATACCCATGAAGCACTGATTAGTCTGGGCCCCACCACAGCAGCGCCCAGCATCAGCCAGGATGCCCAACCTGCTCTGCACGCCAGCTGAAGCTGACAGGAAAGAGGGGCACTTGACAGCACTTTGCCTCTGATACTATTGCAAGACTCTACTAGTATTGATGCATGGGCTGGTTGAGAATAAGCCAATACTGAAGTTTCTGTTTCACAACAGTGTTGGGGAGGACAATAAACCAACACAGAACATTTTGGTAATTAGCCATTCTTTTAAAACATTGCACAATTTTGTCAAGACTGGAAACCTCAAAATTTCATCATTTTTAAATAGGATTGAGAAAGCTCAGAGTTTTACATGCCATGATTTTGCTTTGGCTTCTTGAACGTCTGTGAACAGAATACAGACACTACTGTGAAGAGATAAAAAGGATGTTGCAACAAAAAAATTATTACAAAGGCTGCTCAGCTAATTTAGATGGAGACTACTTTTTTTTTTTTTTCCCCTCAATGATATTAACATTAATCCTTAATTCCACTGCAGAGGTCAGAATTCATTACAGAAGCTTTCTATTTCAAGAGCTAGTTTGATGTTACAAGTCTTATATCAAGTGCCAGTGAAACAATCAACAGTCCTCTGAAATTGTTTTTGGTTCCCCCTCTCCATTTTAAGATACATTTGAAGAGTTTTTGCAACAAACACTCCCTTCATCTACTTAATTTGGAAGTTGTCTCTAATCATTTCTCATCTTCTTACTGCATTACTTCGGAATGATTTCATCCCAGGTGGTGACCTCATATAAAATCCAATGGCAATTAATGGAAGCCAGAAAGCCTAGGGTTGCGTGGAAAGTGAAAAAATAAAAATAAAATACACATGTGCTGGCAATGGTAACTTTCTTTTGACTCATACCTGAGAGTTTAGTTTATTCAGTTGAGACTGTAATCTCTCGTTAATTTTCTGCAATGCTTCTTTCTCCTCATTAAGTCTTTCTCTGTCAGATCTCTCCTTTCTGAAGTCTTCTTCGTATATTTGTACCTGCAATCATTATGATTGAGTATGTGAATTTCAGCAGAGCCACAAATGAAATTTTCATCCACTTTGTTGTTTGGTTGTTTTTTAAACACTGGCCAAGCAGCGGGGTGCATTCCAAGAGGATGCCTCCTCTTTACAACCCTGCAAACAAAAGGCTTCCCTTGTCTTTTTTACAAACAATACAAAGCAACAAGCAATGGCTATTCTCCAGTGGCACCCATCAGTCAAAACAGTCCACAGCTTCAGTATTTGTAGACCCCAGGCTGACCGGTGGATATCAGTTTTAAATACTATAAATAAGATAGCAAATACTAAAGACATCAGTCTTAAGTGATAAACAGTTGTAGGACAAACATTTCACTAACATTTTTTTCCAGTTTTCAATTATAAGCCCTTTTAGCTCTCCCCTGAATCTCAGATGCAAAAGCAGTTAGCATTCTGGTGGAGATGGCAGGTGCTGGCACTTTTGATAAATAATGACAAAAGCACATTGTGGTGGGAAACACCAACAGAATTTTCAGGAGTCCTCTCATGTCCTCTCGGTTGGTCACTAAAGCCTGCTGACAGCCTATTTCCAAAGAACTTCCTTGCTGAGGCTCATACCCTGCCTGTCGTACAGATCCAGTTTTCTTTTTGCTGGCAGCAGCACTATGACTTCACAGGAGGACTAAAGAAATGTTAATACCTCAGGGGAAGAAAAAAAGCCAACATAAGGCTCTATAAACTATTTTCACAACTTGCCTGTTGCAGCTTATTTTTTGCAAGATTTTTTTCAGACCTGACGGTTCCCGACTAGATGTAACCCCCACTCCCAAATAACACTGTGTAAAACAAACAAAGGCTTTCTGTGGGGCCACATGGGGACTCAACTCCAGAGCCTGTGCCTGGAAGAGGCATCCGTGCCCCCGACCTTCTGAAGCAGAGGCAAAGCTGTCATTTGCAGAAATCCAGGTCTCTTGTATCCCTGCCCATCTACACGCTTCTCTCTTCAGCATTTCCTTATTTCTTCTCTCCTGATTCCCTCTCTGCTGTCCCACCTCCCTCCCGCTCCCCAGATGTACGATCTGCTGAAGCTGCAAAGGAACCAACTTTGCCAGTTTTCCCGTATATTCTGTTGCCCTGAGAAAGACAGGGACACCTCCCAAGGAGTTAATGCCTTCATCTCTTCTGTAGTGACCAGAGATGGCCTGATGACAGCCAAGCTCTGGTGAGACTCAGTCACGTCACTGTTTGTCCCAAGAGTCCCTCTTCCATACAGTTAGAGCCTTCTGCTCCATTTCGTGCAGAAGGAAGTCTGGAGTCACTGTACTGATTTATACAACTAGAAAAAGACATTCATAAAATGGTTCCCCCATGAGAATTTTGAAAAAAAAAATTGGTTTACTCTATTTTATTGTGTAGAATGAAATAAGTCATTACTGTACAATCAAGTGCAGGATTTTATTCTCCAGCATGTGGCAAGCATTACATTAGAGAGCAAAATCTGGCTCTGCTGTCAAACGTGACAGAAACAAGTATTTTATTCCCATTGAATAAAATTCCCATTCTGATCACATCCATTTGCGTGTCAATAACGTTAATCCTAACACTGTCCAGAATGACAGACCTAAAAGGTAAAATTATCTGAGAAGTATCATGTTTTGAACAGACCCTGTCATAGGAAAAGAAAAAGAGTGCACAAAGCACTTGAATTGCTCAGAACAAAGATTAAGAAAAACAAATACACTTCTCTATCGTGACTGTTACGCAGGTTATGGATGCAAATGTTTTGCCTCACACTTTGAACAATTACAATGCCAACACTCTGCTTTTCCAAGACTAGGATTCTCAGATAATTCACTAAAATTTCAACTTCCAAAAAAAAAGGAGCAGAAGACACAAGCAACAGCTTAATCAGTAACTCATGAAATTGAGCATTTCCTCTGGATGAAATCCATCCCCTAGCAGAGAGCTGGCAGGACTTCTCCAAGAGTCACAAGAGCCATTCTGCTGCTTCAAGCCCTACACAAGTCCTCTGAAAGGACTCAGTTTCCCTTCGTGGACATTGCTGTGATGACAGCATCTTAGGAAACACTATCTGAGTGGTCTACAGGTAAACTGGTTCTTCCTTTCAAAAGCTCTATATTATAGCAAGTCTACAGGGCACAGTTCTTGGGAGACAGGGTAAAATCGTTCTGTACGTTCTCACCTGCTGCCTGAGAACTTCAAGCTGGGTTCTCATGTCCTCTAGGCTGTTCCTGTCACCCTTCTCTGAAGCAGTCCCAAGAACAGGCGAGTGCTCCTTTTTCAACACATCCCGAAGGGCCTGCAATGTCAAACAGCAGAATTGTTTATGAGAGATTCACTACATCAAAACCAAAAAATCCTTTTAGATTATTAGAATGTTTTCTCTCTACATAAACAGATTAGAGCGAGTCACAGACTTGTGGAGCAAGTTGCAGTTGCTTCAATTAGACACACTGGATATAAACCCCATGAATAACATATATGCATGACTAGGTCCAAATTTTCAAAGTGCCCCCCACCACATCCATGAATTTGAGATAATGCAGTTCAGAGGACCGTGCTTTTACTTATAACTATAAATAACATTTATATACAGAAAACTCAGCTGAAAAATCTAATTCATAAACACCATGTCCCAGTGCAAGTCAGAATTTGGGCAAAGACAGGTGTCTAAACTCAGCTAAGGCCAAAGCTAGGCAAACTGAAAATCCAAGAACATAAAAGCAATATTCAAAGATGGCCTAAAAATGTGACTATAGGAAAGTCTGGCTGAAACATTTTTGCATTAGGATCAAGATTTCTTCAACTGGAACCGAGGCAAACCCTCTGGCTGAGAGAAAGTTATGCAGTCTCTATGGCTTATCACTAGAGGGAGTTCGGAATACACACACTACACTGATAAAGCTCTTACTCTATTTTCCAGTTGCATTCTGCCACAGTTCTTTGGAGGTTTTATTTACTTTTAACAGTATTACACAGCTCTCCCTCAGACTGGAATAATTTTTAAATCACTCTTACCCCTCTTGGTCTATAACCACACACTACACATTTATTTTTTTCGCTCTAGCACAAATATTCACTGTTCAGTACTTTTCAATGTCTCACACATAAGATATGGACTTTGTTAACTTCATCCATTTTAGAAAGTTCAATTCCTGCTCATGATCCCCAGCTCCCCCTTGCTGGCCACACTCCATTCATGCCATAAGGGAAGGAGGGAAGACAACCTGGTGTGGGAAGAGGCAGAGGGGGAAGGAGCCAAGCAGGAGAATCAGTAGCTAAAGTAACACAAGGACTAGCACTAATAATCAAAAGGCAAAAAAAATCCAACAAAAAATATAGCACAGAAGAGAAAAGGGAGGTTTTTTATCTGATAAGCTACTGTCCTGAAGAACTGGGCAGAAGATAAATTGGTAAAATACTGGGAAAGTTCATGTACCACATCAGTACTTAAATAAGGTTGAACATAAATGTGGGAGGCTGAAAATACAGATAGCTTACACGTTAATGCTCAATTTTGTCCCTTTGAGCCACTGCTAATCCCTTTTAGGATATGACATTGCAGTGCTCTACACAAACAGTAAAATAAATAATGAAAACAAGTTTTACATTGGCGCTTAGATTGGGTATGGATCTCCAGCAGCAGCAAGAGTCAGTGAAGTCTGACAATATCATGGTATGTATGATACATTCCCGGGCTCATTGCAACCCAGATCCTTTCACAGGTGTGTGGTTTGTTAGGCTTACTGCTGAGGACAGAGAGGAATGAAATGTGCTTCTCTTCTTCCCCTTGCCTACGCAGGATACATGTCAATCTTGCTGACAGCCACATGATCACAACCTCTGGAGGTCCAAGCCCCTGTTCAGAGCCGGGCCAGGGAGGTCAGGATGCTCAGGGCCGGTCAACTGAGTATTGAGCACTTCCAAGGAGGATGATTTCATGGCTGCTCCTAATATTTGACCTCCCTCAAAACAAAGTGCTTCAGATGCTTTAGTTCAAAAGTAACTGTCTGTCTTGTTTCCTTCGCAACATACCATTTTCCCCATTCATCTGCAGCACCCACTTTTTACATGTCTCTGTCTTCTGTTAAGACTCCTTCACTAGGATGCATGTATCTTACTGATCATGGCCATCCTGACATTACCAAATGGTAATGCGCCTCTACAACTAAATATGCATATTTATAAGCTGTTGACAATTTTCCTAACTCTTGAACAATGTCACTATATTGACTATATTTCTTGGAGCTATAATCATACAGTGATACAGACGTACTAGGTATTTGGGCAGTTCTATTTGTTACTCAGGGTTTTTTTTGGACAAGGTCTACATCTCAGGATTATGGAGAAAATAATAGAAAAATACAGAAAATTAGATCTTCAAAAGGGTAACAGTAGAAAAAAATAAGGCAAGGAATTTTTTAAATCACATTTGGAAGCAATACTGTGAAACCTCATTTTATCACTTCAAATAAGGAAGTGCAGCATGAATAAATCTGAATTGTTTTAGGGTCAAACTAAACCCAGATCAAAATCTTTGAGGGAAGATTTTAAGAGACATTCTGAGAAGTGATAAGTACGGGGAAAAAAGTAAAATTTTGTAATGCTGCTATTAGATCAATAGCAAATTATTGACAATTATATCATTATCGAGATTTGGGTTCTCAAGTATAAAATGGAGACTAAACACTACTGAAGCTAATACCCAAAGATGTAACTGCAATATTGTTCTTTCAAAATTCCCATCACTCTGAACTGACAAAAGGTAGGGCTGTTTTAGAGTCATTTATGGAAGAAGATATTATTGTTCTACCAATTTTAAAAAACAACTGTGAATAAAATGATCATGAGACACTTCAAATTAAAAGTAAACAAGCTGTTTTAAATATGTGACTAATATTTGAAATTTAAAATTAGCAAATCTGAGAAATGACAAAGAACTTCTAGGCACCTTCTATAATTAGTCCTGTATACAATTTTTGCAGATCATTTGGCTATTCCTGTTCCATTAAAAGTCAAAGTACAAAAAAATACAAACAAACAAACAAACAAACCACTTCTCAACTCACCAGAAAATCATATCTCTATAAAGCTGAAAAAAATTGTATAGGAAAGGCTTGAGGGACAGCTAGATGAATAATTTCACAAAGAAAAATTAAAATGCCTTTAGGGACTGGAGAGAGTATTTGATTCCAAAAAAAGCTACCAGTTTTGATAGGTTTTTGATGAATGTGCAGACTAAGAGAGACAGTCAGACTGAGCTATATGTTACAAAAGAAATTAAACTATAAAATATGTAACAATAAAACATTTTTTTTCACTATAAGTAACAGAAGGAAAGTCTTACACAGGAAAGCAAGACTAAAGACAGTATTTCCAACAAGGAGGACAACGTGGCAGTGGCAGGATGGCTAACAGAAGGGAAGAATGAGACAATGAGAAAAAACTCACAAGCTCACCAAGTTAAACTGAGCTTAACTTAATGCGGTGTTAATAACATTCATTAAGAAGTACTGAGAACTGAAATCTGAAATTGCAAGACAAGTAGCATAGAGCTTTTCTGAATTTTTCAACATCAAAAATGGAACTGTATGACTGAAAAATAACTAATTTGGTTTCCAAAGCTATGAAAAGGATAAGGAACCTCTTAATCTAACCCAACGAGTGCGCCAGGCTTGCCTTACAGACATGAGAAACAGGATGAAGTTAAACTCTTTATCTTGATATCTTTCATAAAAACCAGATTTTCTTAACAGGAGAAATATAATAGTGCTTATTAGTCTATGTTTAAATAACAGTTGAGATGGTGCTGCTGCACAGTTAAGAAATAAGTCAGAAATTTGGCTTGTACTTGAGCAATATAGTGAACAAGGAAACAGCCACAGGAAAGCCAACAAACTTGGGATATGGAGTTGCAAACTATTACGGCACTGCAACATCACTTTCATGCTGCTGACATCAAAGCAGGATCAGATCAGACTCTATACTTTGGGTACTCTGGAGGACAGGATCAAAGTTGGATGAAGCCAAAAGCAAAAAGATTAATGTACTTAAAGAGCTTCATGTACAAGTAGAAACAAGTAGACATTACTTCTTCCATAAACTAAGCAGTTTAAAATGACTGAGCTAAAAAAACACGAATACTAGCAGGCACAGTTTTATCTTAAAAGACCAAAAGAGCTGGGTCAGCTTAGCTAAACTGTCCTCTAGTGAAAACACAATTACTCTCTGTAGCTACAGGTAAAGAGCAAGCACCCTTGAGAGCAATTGTATTTTCACTAGAGGACAGTTCTGCTTCATGCAAGGAGTGAAGCAGATCTGTTCAACACTACTATCAGAAGAACAAACAAATATCATCTGGCCAGAATAAATTCAGCCCAATTGAAACAGATGAAAGCATCTAATGAAAGAAGGGCTACAGTTCCAGAACAGCCTTCCAACAGAAGCACAAAGCACTGTAGAAGGAGCTTAAGTATTTTTAAGAAAAAAGTTGTTTGATTTCAGAGAATTTCTAAGAACTTCAGGTCACTGAACCTGCAATAGAAGGGACTAGACTTAAAAGGGCATAGAGGGTCCCTTCCAGTCTTCTGTGCATTCATGACGTGAGATTTGAAGGATGCAAATACACAGAAAACCAGTAAAGTATTACTCATGGGAAAGTGTGTTACATGAAATTGATATTTCATTTTAAAGTATGGTCTATTTATCCATCTAAGTTCCAACCACACTGTAAGATAAGACAGCAAAATAAAACATTGAAATAAGTTGTTTTACAAACAAGACCTTCAATGAAAGTTACACTAAGACTTTGACCAATCCTGTCAATGCATTTCAAAAAGAGCTAGAGACCATACATTTTGTCAGATTTTTTTAATATGGCAACATTACTTTTTTGCCTTGACTTTTGCACATCATGGCCCATTAGTTTGTGTATCACTTAAAGTTACACAGCAATGGTTACTGCAGCGCATTTCCTCAGGAAGCATTTGTGGTTCACCATGAAACACAAAATTGTTAGAAAACACCCACTGCTTTATGTGATCTGCCGATTAAACAAAGTTACATTTATTACTTTACCTCAGTTAAAAAAAAAATCCCATTTAGCTATTTTATGACAATTTCCTCAATGAGACATATACACACATGCATACTTACATAAAAAGACAGGAGCATGTCTTGTGAAGAGAAGCCATTATTCTCAAATCCAGAATATGTGTAAAACAACAGTTTTTAAACTGAATTTTTTTTTTTTAATCACAGTGTTTCACTGGATGCATACAAAAGAACTTTGCACCATTTCCCTTTTGTTCTAAGGAGGAAGAATGTACAAAGAGCTTAGATATGACACATAGAGAGGTTTCACAGGAGAAGGCAAAGATTCTCTTAACTTCCCTCTTTACTATGCAACCCTAGCTCCCTAATGGTGATCATGATTTTGCTACCAGGTTGTTCACCCAGGACTGAAAAGACAGGCATCTGGTAGTGTCACTGCTTGACAAGAGATACCCTAGAATTAAAGGAAGAGGTCCTGGGTCAGTGGCTCACTCTTGTTCATACCTTATTGAGACGACTTATTTCACACTCATAGTGTTCTTTCTTTCTGATCATTGATGCGTTCTTCTGCTTCAGGAGCCTGTTCTCTTCCTTCATTTCACGGAGAGCTTCACTAAGGACCTTTGTTTCTTTCTGAGATGCAAAAATACAAAGAGATGCTGCTGAAATGCAGATGAAACCATTTTTCAAGAACAATTTTCAGAATATCTGCTGTCTGGCAGATGTGCTACATTTTTGTTGTCCCAAACACAGCTGAGAAGGGAAGCAACAGGAAGGCGGATGGTTAGTAAAACCCAGATATGATAAAGTCTGTTGAAATTGTTTTGACCACTTACCATATGATGAGACAGACAACATACCAGACTAAATCCCTGCTCTCTACAGTCTGCAATCACACAAAGGCATGAGAAAGCTGGCAGGCCAAGCAGATCAGTACCATACTGATGATCATTCCCAAAGCTGCATTACTCTCATGCATTCATTGTGTAAGGCCAGGGCTAAACACTGGTGGAGTTCCAGCCATTCCCAGTGTTATACAATCTTAAAGACAAAACCAGATCTCAGTATCACATAGTTGCAGGACTTTTTCCACTACACAAGACTGAGGCAGGTCTCAGCCTGCTCAAGATTCACCAAGCTACGAACCAAGGCTTAAAAATCCACTTTCTTTGGCCCCATCACAGTCGTTGTTGACTTGAGCTTGACCCTTCCTAGTGGGTGTGCCTACACTGCTGCCGCCCCAGCAAGCTACCAGGAAGAGGTCCCTACTTGCAATAGGATTTACACACTAGTCTTTCAGGATGGTATTATGGGAATCATAATATTAATAATAAAGTTTTATTCTTTTCTCCTATTGGTTTCAGCATGGCTATTTTCAATTTACAATAAGGAAGCTAAGATCCAAATCAGACTCTGAAGCAAGTGGCATGGTGTAAGGTTCCCTCCCTTCTCCCCCAGGGTAATGCATTCCTCACTAGCCCACTTTTGTCAGACTGTCTTAGACCAAAGCTATTCAGACATAGGAAACAGAATGGCCCATTCTACAAAAAAGAAAGTTTTTCATATATTCTTCTGCAGCTACTAGGCTTTTACTGTTCAGGCCCATGCGAAGTGCATCCCTGTGTGCTAACTGAGCCACTGAAAAACACCCTTGAGAAATTGTTGCTTACACACGAGGTAGCTTTATTTTCCTTTTTTCTAGGTTAGGTGGAACATTTCATTTTCTCCAAAATCTCAGCAAGATTAGCAGGGTATCTCTGCATTACGTATAGGAACTCACCCAGGGAGCTGACTCAAGCTGGCACATGCATGTATGTTTTCAGATACTAAAGACAAAACACTAAAAGCAATATAGGCTTTTACCGATGTTCTTCTCTTCACCTTTGCCATCCTCTTTTCCTAACTCCCAGCACACATTCTCTTGCTTGGAGGCTGACACCTTGGGGATCATGGCCATTTATAACATTTCCTGTTTGTTCTAGTTTTGAACCATCTGAATTCTTACATCTTATTGCTTCTTATTTGACACTCAATCGTAGGTGTTACAGCACCTAGACCTCCCAGTGACTAGGTTGGTCTTTGCTGACTGTCTACAGGTACATACTCATGCCCAGAGAGAACAAAAAAAAATAAAATCTCCAAAACAGTCAGTTTTCCTCTGTGGGCCATGGAGGACGTGGGGGCAGATAAAGTTCACATTATCATTCTGTGAGAATCATACCTCCAGGTGAATTTAAAAAAAATGAAATAGCTCTGTAAAACAGAATGTTAGTTGCTGCAGGAAAAAAAAAGCACCATAAAGCCCTAAACATCCAATCTGGGTAGATCTGTCAGCTTGGGCCTCTTCTGCATCTGCTGAACTTTAAAGCAACCAGCCTGCTCACATGCATTCAAGCTGAACATATCTTTAGGCATTTTTCTGAATCATCCCCTGGAACTGCTTTTTCTTCATCCCACCCCGTGGGGAGCATAAGTGTAACTTGAGTTGGCACAGCTGCTGACATGGGTGTTACAATCCATGTTGCTCATTCAAAATTCTCTATTTTTAGTGGCTACACTTGGAAAGGTGTAGATCTCCTGCATCCCTGCACAACATCCAAAAAGTAAAGAAATTCTGAGTAAATAGGAGCACTTACTGGCTGAGTATATAATTTGTAAAGAAATTGCTGATCTAAGGCTGAATTTCCATGCAGGTTAACCTGTCCCCATAAGCAATTTTCTGATTATACTGTTATTTTGTTCATTATTCATGCATGCAGGGAAAAAAAAAAAAAAAAAAAAAAAAAAAGGAGAGAATGTGCTGCTCATCCTTACCTTTTCAAAAAGGTAGCTACGGCTATTTTTCATAGCCATCGTATATTAAACGGCAGGCAGTAAAAACCTCAGTAATACAAACAGGAAGATGGATTGTCTCGCATTGACTCTACTTAGAGCAAGCATAGGCACTGATTCAGCAAGTACGTAATGACATGGTTTGCTTTAAAACATGTAAACAGTCCTACTGGTTGAAAATCAAGCACATGTTTAGCGAGGACCTTATCTGAGAAGCAAGTAAGCTCTGCTCCTGAAGATAAAAGTTAAGGGCTTTGCATTTCTTTTCCTGCAGTAGCTAATGTACATCTTACCTGAGCCTACAAGGGATGCAATTGCCGCTTGTTTTCAGGCTTGTTTCATGTTATCAAGAGAACAGAGAAGCCCAGCCTCAGCTGTCAGAGCACCATCCAGAAACTCTTAAGAGATTATGAAGTGCGTGATACCATGACAGAATGAGAAAAGGAAGCATATTCTGTAGTACTTGTAAAATAGGGCACATTTTGTGTATGAATTGGTCATATATATGCCAGTCACTCAGGTTGAGGGTTTTACTGTGGTAGGAATTCAGTTTAGGGATCTAACTTTAGATGCAAATGCCCACACAAGAGCCAGTGCCTCAGGAGCCCCGACAGAGGAGCCCAGCCACTCTCAGGATGAGGTGAACACCGCTCAAGAGCTGCTGGTCTGCCCAGGCGCTTTCAGCACTGATAACTTTACCAACTACAAGGCTAAAACCTACAGGGAGCTGAGATAGCCAGCCCATGTGTAAAAGCTTATATTGTCAATACCAAAATGTGGGTGTCTGAATTCATTCCTTCAAGTATTTATGGCCAAACATTTTGTGTGACATCTGCAATGATGTTCCTATTCGCTTTGAAATCACTCTAGCATTTTTGTTCACAAATAAATTCATCCCAAACTGAACAGTGAGGAAGGAAATCTCTGCAGTACTCATACCAATCTGCTCTTTACTCCCACACACCCACACACTAATACTGTGCTCTCTGCCAATTTCTACTGAAATTACTGTCTCTCTACACATAGTTCTCTGCTCAGAGGATCAGCCACTGCCTTGTGTTCAATATTGAAAAGCACCCAACACCACAATCTCATCTCGTGGCTGTGTAACAACCCATGCCGTGACACTTGAGAAGAGAAAGAGGAAAGGCAAGATAGCATTCAGCATTGAGCACAAACAGGGTAACAACATGCACCCTCCTACCATTTCCTGTGACGGCCTCTCTCTGCCCAGGACTTGCAACCTCTCATTTTCTGGATGCTCTCGATGTCTCTCCTCCTCCAGCTCACCAACTCTCCTCTCTGACACATCCAGTTTTGCTTTCATTTCTGCCAACTGAAAAATAAGTAATAGACTGTGGTGGGCTCTTTGGGGATCCTGAAAGGCAAAGCAGCCCAAAGGTGCCTTCAAATCCCTTCAGCTCTCAACAGATTAGTGTAAAAGAGTGGATCTGGTCGGATGTGAAGTTCCCAGGCACTGTGAGCTAAAGACAAAGTAAACATGATGCTTTTTTTTTTTTTTTTTTTTTGTCTCCTCAAGATACTTACTGTAGCTATGGCTGGCTGGACTTCAAGCACAGATTTAACTGCAGGTGGCATTCATATTCCAATAGAAGTAGACAACATTGTTACCTGTTTTTCATAAAGCTGTTTCATACTTCTAAATTGATGATCCCATTGCTTGTTCACCTCCAGAAGCTGTAATTTATGGGGAAGCCACAATAAATAAACCTTATTTCAACATTGTCAAAAAATAAAAAATAGACTGGCACTCTAATCCTCTAGCTATGTGTATTCACAAACTCCTCATTATCTGGCCAGTTCATACCACAAAAAGCAAGGTTTTTGCAAGGTTTGGCAAGCTCTACAGACCACTGCCAGTGCTTTGGTATTTCAGTTAAAGTGCATGACAGTTCAGGAAGTCACATTCAGGAAACAAGCAAATACACAATAAGCTACAAGTGCACTTGCTTGTACTTGCAACACAAGCGCAAATCCCAAGCTGCAACTCCTAAATGGCCAAGGACTCTCTTATTGGTTTGCTTTAAGTTACATAAACACATTTCCAATTACAAGGTCTCTGACTTCAAAGAAGTGTATTGAGGACTTTTATTAACTGCAACTACTATTGGGTGCAAACTCTACTTGCCCTTCTCAGTACCACTAAACTGAGCAAGTGTATGCACACAAGATGGGGAAGATCGGCTAACACCATGTATGCAAGTGGTAAGAGCGAAGGCAGCACACATGCATTTTTACTGGAGAAAGCCAAATAAGTCCCTCCAAGCATTTTGTTTTGTAGGATACAGGGTCACTCTTCAGGATGGTCAGCTAAAGAACAGCTTCCAGTTTGCTGCTACCTGTGACCAAGCCACCACTGCCTACTACTCATAGTGGTTCTTTGGCCTTTACAATAGCAATCATTAAGCAAGTTTGCCGCTTGTACCATATAAATCACTGCTCTTCCAGATTCATAGCCATGTTACAATAAGTCATCATTTGTTTTTAGGAATAGTTCCCCAAATATAACTCTGCCTAGCTTGGTAGAGAGAAGTAGGACCACAGGAACTAGTTTAAACATAATTTTAAGTGCTCGCATACTTCGGGCTGTGAAGAAATAGAAAACAGAAAGTCTACACATAGACATTTTCTCACAAGAGCATGGGAGAAGATTTCCACAGGGAAAACATAGGCCTTTCTGGACTGGTGGGCGAAACCAATTGCAGTATAACCACAGTGTCCATAACAGTGATAACACATTCAGTGATTTCCTGCCCTGGACATATTACTGATATCGTAGTGTCTGCCTTAAAGGTTACAACTGTAAAGGTTAAGGGTAACCTTAAGATTACCTCTCGTCTCTGTCTTTGCAGCGAGAGGATCTGTTGTTCCAGAGAACTAGCTGACGCAGTCTTCTTTTTGGTCAGTAGTATGTGCCTTGACTGGAGAAAAGAAATCTTCAAAAACAAATATGTTCAGCATCCTCTCTTCAAGTCAAGATTATCAGATAAAAATCCCATCCACCCTGCCACATGCACGAAAAGAAACTGAAATAGCAACATTTTCTTACATTGCACTTGTACTTCAGTACCTTTACAGCTGCTGATAGCAGATTCTCAAGTGTACATCTGCTTTAACCCTGCTTAGTCTGTGTTTTAATTGAAGCATTATGCTAATGGACACTGAAATAAACAAAATTATGTCTATTTGTAGCATGTGAGACATAGAACACAAAATAGGATTTTAATTATCTTGCAGATGGTAATACAAACAAGTGGTACAAGCCACAAAACTTGAGCATAAGTAGAAGTGGGTGTAAGTAATTCCCTTCATTTACAAGAACTAGAATAATTAGCAGTATTGCCTTGGTAAGTGTTTGCAGGCCCAAGGCAATAAACTTTAGCACAATGGGTTCGAAACAAGCAATTCAGAAAACAAATAGATCATTTGGAGAAATTAGGAAATGAGTCTGCAATTGCTTCATTTTTTAACTGTGGAGTTCTGTCCATGAAGGACAACAGCAGCTAAACCCTCATTTTAATAATGACAGTCTCATATATCATAATTTCCAAGAAGTTTCTATGGATTCTCATGAAAACAAACACTTGATCTATTTTTATATATACATACATGTACGTATATGTGTGTAGATTATATATAACAGAACTGTACTGGAAAAAAGACACTTGCTCATAAAAAAAACATACGACATTCAGATATGTGGTCATGGACTTTTTTTTCCCCCTATTCTGAATTTTCCACCAATATACGAGAAACTGTAGAACAAAAGTGTGAGCACTTCTGCGGTCTTAAATCTCCTGAAATAAATCTATTTTCTTCAGCTAGAGAATTTAATGCCAAACACCAATGAAGAAGATCAAAGAAGAGTTTTGTGGTGTCTTTCACATGCAAAAATCCTGACCACTTGTCTACCCCATGGCCAGCACTGCTGAGCTTAACGTGAAACAATTGACTTCCAGGAGAGAAAACACTTAATCCCTCTTCCTATAGAAGTTCATCAACATGTTTAACTTAAAGTATATGAAGTGATTGCCTGGCAGTCAACGGAGTTATTAATGTGTTGAATTCTCTTCAGAATCTGGGCCTTAGACACACATTTAAGTGTATGAAGAATCCTGTTAAAGTCAAATAGGACAACCCACAAATCTAACAGCTATATTTACACTCTGCACCCACTGGCCCGAATGCTGCTCACAGAAGTTGTTGGGTCACTAAAATTAATGTTGGGTCATTAAAATCAAATGACTTTTTAAAGGGTCATTTTTTTTTTTTTAAAAAGTAATATTAAAAAAATACTTTTAGGGGAAAAAGAACCCACTAAGGAAGCTCTTCTTTCTAAGACTGCTTCATCCAAAAATATTTCTAACATTTCATCCTACTTTTAAACAACGTAAATCATTCAGACAAACCTACGTGCCCATTAATTGTCAATCTACAAAATGACACGCACGATACCTGCACCAGCTCAAGCTGTTCCTGTTAATCAGAGAGCACTTCACAGGACAGCCAAAACAGTCACTTACTTCTAGCGGGTCTGCCGGAGCTTCCATGTCACTCACATCTGCCCACACGCATCCAAGACAACCTTGAGCATTTGTTTCACTACGAGTCTTTGGAAGAAGAGCAATGAAACAGATGTTTTACACTGGCTAAAGGAATGGGAGAATTGCATTAAGACCCAGAAGATCCACAAGCACTGCCTGTTGCAGCAGCTAAGGCTCATAAATAGGTGGCAGAATTTTGATTTTAACATTTCCCTCCTTCCTGGCCGGGGATTCCCAGAAGGGTTGAAGCACACTGCCTATGACTAATACGCTGGGCAAGGCAGTACCCTGCTCAGTGTGCGTGTGAATCGTAATCAACTGGCCAGTTCACCCTGAGAGAGGAAGTTGCATGTATAAGGGAAAGAAGGGTATGTTTTTTCAGTAAATAAGAGGACAGCATTTCCTATGCCCACTTCCAGTTGTAAAAATGGACTTACGTAAGTATGATAAGTATAAAGTGACAGTAAGACAGTGTGAACTATCATGACAGAAAAAATAGTGAGTCATGCTTAGAAAGGAGTAACAGTGAAGTCTGCTAACAGCTATGGGGAAGAGCACACCCATACAAACCCCAAGATGTTCAGGGGAAAACCATCATTGAAAAATTGATTTACTTTCCTGAAGAAAAGCCGCACAAAGGTGAAGAACGACAGGTGTTGTTATTCTTCTCCAAAGGACCTAGTACTAGCAGTTCTAGTACTTACCTTTTCTAAGCATGGATCTAGCTTCAAGCTACTCAGGTCTTCACTTGAGTACTTAAGGTACCCAACACTCCAAACCCATGTCCTAGTTTCCCATTTGGAAAAAGACATTAACATTACCAAGTCAAACTCACAGGAAAGATTAGCAAATAAAAGGCTTCCACAGACTTCACATACAAATTCAGAATGAAATAGAAAAGCACAAAGTAGTGTCATCTTCAGTCTTGAAACTGTGAATAATGAGGGATTTGAGAAGGAAAAGTGAGAGGGGAAAAAAAATCATTTTCCTTATTGTGGAAAGATCCTGGGTCTGAGGCTTTTCCAGCAGGGGCAGAGGTTGCTTATTTGCTTTCCAAGGAATGGAACGAAAACTAGCCTGTGAAATCTGTCATAAAATAACATAACCCCGTGAAAGATCTTTCAAATACAAAAAAAAGAATTTAAGCAAAAGTAAAGTAATCCTGTGAAATACTGGAATTTAATAGCCACATTCCAGATCTCTGGTTCATAATGTGTGACTAAGCAACTCTTGTTTTGCAAGACACAAAACTCCATTTGAAAGAAAGCTACTATTTGATAATATTTGCATATGAATATGTCCTCCCTACCCTGATGTTCTTTTTATTTTTTCCTGGTTTATGGAACATCTGGAAAATTTGTGTGGTATAAAGAAAGAAATTAAAAAGCAAATGGTATTTTAGTAAAGACATTTTAGATTCTACATAGGAGTTATCCTACCCATCAAAAATAAAATTATTTAATCTGTACCTATACCAAAACTAGTCTTTGAGCTAATATCCCTTCCAGGTACAGCATTGGTTTAAAGAAGGAAGAACTACTGGCTAAATAACACAACAGCAATTTCCACAACTGCATTTCTTGACATTTCAGTAGTGATTAATATATTGTAAGTAATACAAGCCAGTAACTGTCAGGTAATGAAACAAAGTCAACCTCTACCACCTAAGCAAGGTTGAGTGAAACAGAAATGCCATCCTCTGAGAAACAGACGTGAGAAGGCCAACTTCTAAAATGAATAAACATACCATGCTACTGAGAGAATCTAGTGATAGCTAAGCTGTAAAATCCCCATAGTGAAAAAGGAAGAGGAAGCACCAAGTATTTTAAAAATGAGACCGAGTATTATATTATTGAAAGTTTATGTCAAATCAAAGCGTACACCTAATGACTTCTAAGCCCTTTGCAAAGGTAGGCAATAACCCTATTATACACACAGGGCAACAGACCAACTGAATGCTAAAGGTCATCCAGATGTTAGTGTCAGATCAGAGAATGATGATGTGTCCTTTCACCCACAGTCTGCCACAGCCACAATTGCAGCATCTATTATCAGGGTGTCACTGCATAATTTTGTGTTCCAACTGCACTGAAGTTAGAGAAAATAGGAGGCAAAAGCCAGCTGCTGAAGGAGAGGGTAATGTCATCAGACACAAATGACATGAACAGCAATTATCTACTGCCTTCTGATAATGTCTCACTATCTTGCACTTACCTGCTATTGAATCAAATATACAGTTTTAAGTTGCTTGGAAAATTCTAGTTGAAGACCAGAATGTAAACGCAGTCACAAACATAAAAGACCATTTACAGATCTAAGTAAACTTTCAAAAAGCTACTAAACTTTCCAGCCTGCAAAACATAGCCAGACAAGTTAAAGATTTTGCAGGAAAACTTTTCCTAGTGCTACACAGTCACAGGAAGCTCAGGAAGCTTCACAGGAAGCAAAAAATGACAGCCGAAGAGAGTGCCTGCAAAGTGTGAACAGGTCTGCACAAAACACCATGAAAGTAAATTCTTGAGTAGTAACCAGAGTCGGCAGTGTTGTCCAAAGGCAAGGCAGCATATGCTGGCTAGGTGCTGTATTGTTTGGTAAACGTTTACAGAAAAGCAGAGAAGATACCTGAGGAGAAACCAAGCGCGCTTGTCCTGGACCATGGGCACAATGTCAGTTGTGCAGTGTGCTGCGAGGACGTCTACCAACACTATTGAAGGTGAGTCTCCCCAGGAGCTGCCTGAGCTATCAGCCACGGACAGAAACAGCACCTCAGACGTGGGCAGGACCCTGACTATGTACACGCTGGACACTGCCATGTAAATTAGCACCATCTCTAACACTGCTGTAAAGGGCTTGCAGGGAAAATCTGGTCATTCTCTTGTCACAGACAACTAAAAATCAGATTTCACTGTGGTGAAATCATACCTACTTTAGCCGCTAACATGCAAAATTAAGACTTTCTAAATGTGATGTAACAGCAATGACAAACTGGTCAGCAAGTTTTATAAATCCCAATCTAATGGTTGCATGAAACTTAATTTTCCTGATTATTTCATCTCTTCCTCTTTAAATGAACAACTCAGTCTGTGTCATGGCATTTACTGTTTACACTAAAAAAAAAAAAAAAAACCCCAAAAGCACAAAACATGACAAAACAGCCTGCAGGGAATAGTCTCCAGGTGGAGAAATACAGACTTGGCAACCTCTTACAGTATAACTGCCTCAAACTTCTCCATTAACGCATGTAAAACGACATCACAGTGTGCAGTGGACAAAGTTGTGTTACTTTTTATAGCCTCCCTGAAATATCCAGACATACAGGCCTTTATCTAGCTGGGGTCCATCACAAATTTTAGAGCAAACACATAAGTAACTTGTATTCTCCTTTCATTTGTTTCTCACCCCCTACTTCTACTTCCATTCTCTCTCCAGAAAGTTACTCCCTTCACACGCTCCCTCTATCCATCCCAAATGAGGAAACAAAACATCATTACTCCTGTTGCTGGGCTTTCTGCGTGCAAAGGCCATTTAGTCATCTTTGGGAAGGTTGCAATGGGAGAAAAATCAAAGCCTTGGAACTGTAGCCTATACTGAATCCTCACACAAGCATCAGCACCACAAAAAAAATAAAAGTTCCCATTTTCAGAGAGTATTGGATCTCAATTCTGGGAAAGGCTTCTGTTACAGTATTACAAAATAGGCATCCACAAATTAAGATAACGAAAGCCATTTGTCACTTTTGAAAATTTTGGCTGTTCAGTAACTGCAGTGAAACCAAAAAAACACTGGAATGCTTGATTCAAGTAAAAGTGAATCTTGCTTGATGATGAAAAAACAGTAAAACAATCAACATGCTGAGAACTAGTTCATTCCGCAGAATTACATTTTCTGTCTCTCAAATATTTGCCTTTTAAACCACAACAATATTATATATTTTTATGGAAAAAAAAATCCTGGTGAAAATAGGAATTTGTTTACAGACATTTCCAGATAGCAGTCTCAAAAGCAATTTAAGCTCAGAAGGAAATGTCATTTTGCAGTGTGCAATTTATACCCTTCACTCCAGAAAAAAAAGTTACAGAATAAAAATTACTTGCTAGCTTTGCCAAATACTTTCCTGACAGAGTGACCAACACGGTATGGAAGGGTACAGTTTTGTTTCATTATTAAATTTCTCCTAATTCATACATATAGAATACTCCCCCCATTTTAAGTCTAAATCAGCATTTCATTTTACAAAGTGTCACTTTTCTGGTTTTGTGTGGTTTTTTAACATTTTATAACCTTCATAACTGAAACTACACTAGGTTTGTTAAAAATGTTCCCTCCTTTTCCAAAACACACAATCTGATAGATGTAGTCCTAGAATCTTATATTGAGGTTGTTGGAGCTTATCATAACTGTAAAGCTGTCACTCACTTGAAGTCCAAATCAATTACCAGCCAAGTGAAAAGCTGTTTGACTTAAAAGTGTAAGTAAAAAATAGCCACTATAGTTGTAGTGCAGAAGTATCATAAACCTTCCCCTCTTAAGCTACGAAAACCACACACACACATCTTGCATGGGTAAACAAGTGTTATGAAAACGTACAAAGTATAAAAGCACTACAGATGAAATACCACCACAGTATTGTGTGAGGCACTGAAGCACCCCATGGAAAAGGTCAAGGTGAGCACATCCTTTATTCTTCCTCCCCACACTGCCAAAATCCTTTCCTACATGTCCTTCTGTTGGAAGCTGGCTAATATGGGAAACACCTGGTCCCCACAGACCATTTGTGGCTTGCTGTTCTGCCCTGTAACTTCACAGCTCAATGCTACTCAATTCTGCACTCCTGCTTCATTGTGCTTATTCCTCCCACGGGGCTGGGAATCCCCATTCCTCCTTGTGGCTTCTCTCTCAGTTTCTAATCCCACTGGTCTGACCCTGGGGTGTCTCCTTAGGCTCAGCTCAGCTTCATGCCCCAAGGTCACAAGTCATTTTGGAGATGACGGTTTACATGTGAAAGGAGCTATGTGTAATTTCGTATTTCACGGAAGAGAGTCATCTCTCCTTTACCTCCTCATCCATTTCTTGCATCATGCCTCGTGGTGCTGCCTTCAGAGGTTTCCTTTCCCCCAGAGGTGGAGTCACAGAGGCAGGTGTGTTATCCATTGCAGGGGGATGGCATTCATGGCTTAATCACTCCTTTCCTCCACACATCTCACTCCTCCCTTTCCCAGTTTGCAAAAAACGGAAATTTCCTTTCATCCTACTGCACAATAAAGAGCAGCTTGCTGTTTCAGGGGAAGGGAGGGAAACTGAGAGGGAAACCTGCAACAAGTTTCTGTCATGCTTGTTAACCACTGCTTCACTGCAAGCAAAGACAACCATCTCAGCAGGTGGCTTTCAATTTTCTGTTTGTAATACCACAGAAGTAGTGCAGGTTTGAATCATAATTCTTCTTCTTCTTTCTTCCTATTTATCTAAATGCCTTTCCGACGCTCCCAAAACTCTGCTCATCCTCAGTTAAATCAGAACTACCAAAAGCAATAACCTACAGAAATCTCTGTGCTCTTCAGGTATGCAGTGTTGTGGATCTGTGTTATCAAAAAGGCACAGCTAGCTACAGAGGGTGGCACTTAGGCTAACCAGCAGCTCTAGCTGACCTTTCAAAGAATTATACAATGTGTCTTCTCACTCAGTCTTTCTTGTAACAGAGAGTAGTTGTATTGGGGAAAAAAGCTTGTAGAAAGTTCATTGCATTTCAGAAACCAAAAAGTTTCATGCATAATCAAATCACACAGGAAACACCCCATGAATGTTCTTCCCTGGCAGATGAACATTGCAAAAGCAGACTGCGTTTACCTTAAGAGAACACAAAATTCTCTGAGGGTTCGGACTCTCCCGGGTAACTGGTTCAGGGTCCTTGCACGACTGGGAAGCGTTACTCTTCTCTATCAGATTCCTTATTTCAACATCAAGCTCTTTACTTTCACACCTGATTAGAAAGAAATAGCAATGTTTTACTTTGTAAACAAATTTGAAGCATAGAGAAGGTAAATTTGTCAGCTGCCTTCTTAATGTGACAATGCAGACAGCAGAGCTAGTACCACACTGAGCTCCTACTACCTTCCTTCCTGGTGCACAGAGAGCACTAGAGCTGTGTCACACAAGCAACCTCTTAAGTGCTTTGTGATAGAAATTAATTTAAAACACGAAAACAAGCAGTCTTCAGGAATTTTACTACCTCGCATCTAGAAAATCAAGTAAATCCTCTTGAGGAATATATGGACACTGCCCCATGCTCTCATCCCCAGCCACCTCCAATTTCAAGAATTTTAAATTCAACTTTAACAAAAAGGGTATAAAAAATGGATAAATTGGTTTAAACTCCAAAACTAGGTGGTCAGTTCACAAACTTTTTTGATGGTACACTTTGTTTTCTGTAACTCTTCATAACAGATACCTGATATGCATTTTCAATTTTTTTTCCTGAAAGCTCCTTTTAAAAACATTCTTATCTTCTAAAAATTGGTCTGTTGTGAACACTAAAACGATATTTGTTTGGTGGGAGAATTCTTTTACTTTTAGCCTCTCTGCTAAGGACACTCAGGACTTAAGTGCACTTAAGGGCTTGCTCCAAATTTGCAGAACTAACTAGAAATTAGGGCTGATTCTCTCTTGATATGCCGTTAAGAGTAGAATGTGACTTTCAGAGAACGGATCAAGGCATAATTAAAACAAATGCCAAAAAAACCTAGACTCAACCCAAGTTTTCAAGAAACGCTCATCTCTTCTGCAAGCTCAGACCTCCATTTCCTAATCAGCTTAAACCAACTCTAAATATAAGTAATGCATGACCAGAAAGCAAACTGCAAAGCTCAAAAGTATTACCAACCTGTTATAGCAAGATGACTTCTTGATTTGAAATACCAGAAAAACTGAAAGCAGTAAGAATTTATCAGTTACACTTATTGCAGCTTAGATAGGCAATCCACAGGGATCACACTGCGGGTTCTGAGGAAACTCCTCAAGGGCAACTGCTAAAATTATCAAATAAACACACACATGTATCCTAATCATAAGAGTAATTGTGGCAAATTTTGTGCTGATAGCATAAAATGATTCCTTATATTCTCCATATTTACAGCACAGAGACTGTAACAGAAATGTATTTTCATTAAGCATGAATGCAAAATCATTTCCAGAGGTACTACAATAAAATACCAACAGCAGCACATAAGGACCAGCAAAACTCAAGAGCTTTTTTTTGACTTGCCACCTAGCAGACAGACAAGCTGGAACTTCATGGCAGTTTCAGAGCTTCCATGAAGCCTGCCTGCACCAAAAAAAAGTTTAATGGAACAAACACAACATTTGGGTTTGTTTCAAGACCTAGACCTATGGCATAGGAAATAGGACATCTACACAAAGAACCAAGACCAGGCTTTTTCAGTGCTGGAAGGTCCTGAAGCACTAGAATGCATCACATGACTTTTCTTCTCTGCAGAAAGACATTTCTTCGTACTAACGTTTTGGGGTTTTTGGGATTCTTGGGGGTTTTTTCACCCAAATATAGCAACTAGCATGAGTTCAAAGAAACACAGTACCCAGCTGAAGAGAGTATTGTCTTTTCTTAGAGCACTTTAACTGGCCATAATTCCCTTTCAAAGCCCTGATGACTAAGAGAAAGACTTTCCTGATGCACATTTTCATGCACCTGACAGTGGTGCAGCAGGCTGTAGCTGCTCTGAACACCTGTGGTAGTTTTCAAAACCTCAGCTGTGCGTGGGCAGCAGGTGAGTCCCAGTAGCACAGGCACCACGTGCTGGCTCGTGGGGCTGGGCTTGCAAGCAAGGTTGCCCACCACAGGGCCCACACATGACCTACATGCTTCTCAGCTTCCCTTTCGCTTTAGTTTGAGGAAACAAGCAGCAGCCAGGCATGCACAGAATCGAGGAACCACAAGCCTTGTCAGCACAAAGGCATGTACAGCAAGATGAAAACTACAGAAGGAAAAGAAGGAAACTTGAAAAAGAAATCCAGCTGTCTTCTGTCTTGGTAAATATTGCAAAATCCTGGATAGACCAGTGCAAGTGGCACTTTTTTAAGCAATTCTTTTCGAAGATTCACGGACCATAAATTCTCAGGCAGCAGCATGACCAAGCATTCTGCTTATAGTCTTCATTTTTAATCATCTACATAATGCAAACTTTGCGACATAAGTAGCAACATCCCTTTACTCTCAAGTGCACTCTCCTGGGAAAGAGCATTTTCAGCTCATTTTGGACTCCCCGAGGCCTGACCTGGCCTGAGATCACTTCATGTAACAGCACTGGATACACGCTGTGCAGAGCACTTGGTGCTTTTGAAGATGCTTAAAAGAACTGCGAAGCTACAGCATGGAAGCAGTCACTCATGGTGCTGTTTCAGGAAAAGTGCATGCAATTATGTTTACATAGTAAGGGAGAAATTATTGCTGCAGCCTTCTCAGAGCCCCTAGAAATGTGTCAAAAGGAATGGACAGGTTAAGTAAAGGAAGGTGAAACATGACCGAGGAGTACTGAGGCATTTAGGACAGAGCTGCTAAAACCACAGGACAAAGTTTTCAGACCAGGCTTTGAAAACTTCATGGTTTTTATCTGTGCTTAGGCAACCAACCAAAGGCAGGACAGTTGCTCTCGTCTTCCCTTGCCCCACACACCTCCTGCATGAGATCAGCAGAGCACCCAACTTACCACTTCACCGAGAGAAAAAACTCTGGCCTACGAGTGGCTTCTGGTAAAAAGTATTCTGCTCAGTGCCCAGGGTTGCAGTAACATATCGTGCTCCAGCTGCAGGCTCTTGCCAGACAAAGAGTTTAACTTCTCCACAGCCCCAGCCACTTTCCACCTTCACTACCCTTCTGATGCAAATTACCATCCCCAGCTACCAGCACAACCCACTCACCCAGCTTGGTCAAATATTCAGGGTTTCCTCAAACCCTTTTAAGTAAAATAAAGCAGCTTAGACTAAGACAACTGTTCAATACGAAGGAGCAACGTTGAGGTGCAGTCCAGAGGACAGTAAAAGACAGGCAACCATCTCTGGCAGGAGTGCAGCAGCAAGTATTTAGGCAGGCTGCACTCATCTCTGCCTCCGGTTCAGTCAGAGAGAGGAGATGTGTGACCACAGCCTCTGGAGATCAGAGCATGAATCAAGCTGGGAAATACCCCATGAAGATGGTGGGTTAGCTTTAAATATTTATTTTCATCCAGGAAACGTTAATTCCTTTGCTCGGCTCCCTGCGGTTTGATGCTGTGGCCATATGCGATGTTCACTTCTAGCTGCTCCCACCCTATCCCTCTGCGTTCTCTCTTCTGGGTGCAGCAGTACCTGGGCAAGAGCAGGCACCAGCTGTGCCTGGGTGAAAGAAGGGGAACTGCAAAAGATTGAAATACCTACAAACCAATTACTGCTCTGTAATATACATCGACATCATCACAAAAGTCAGAAAACTACTTCATTTACTGGATTTCTCAGTGCATTTGGGTCTCCCTCAGTTTTTAGACTAAGGTCTTTGACCAGAAGCTATTACTCCTTTTTTATCTGTATTTTAATATTAACCACTTTGATAATTGGCAGGATATCTTTATTGTCATGTAAAAGGTTAATCTTATCTGGTGTATAGATCCATGTTGCAGTCCAGACTTTCAGAGCACACAGATGACCTCAGTGCTTGAATATGTCTTCAAGATAGCAGTGATTGGGAGCTATCCCAGAACAAGACAGCTCTTTATGAGTACCTGACCTTCCCCTGCTGAGCTCTAGAGGGCACACAGCATTTAGCTTCCACAGAAAGTGATTTTTCAAAACTACTTTTGTTTTGTGAAGTTCACAGGTACATTTCTGTACCATTAACATCTTGACTGTTCTATACCATTGCCAACATTTTTCTAAAATAGGTATTTTGATTTTTACTAATTAAATTATGTTTTTGCAAGGAAAGCAAATAGGCAACCTGTTAGGAAAAGAATCAGAAAAATTAAATCCAATCAAATTTTGGAGATACAGTTTTCTACGTTTTGTAAAATCAATCACCAGAGATATTAAAAACATTTTCATGTGGTCATATGGGGAAAAGTGTATTTGTCCCATACACAAAAGCTTTCTAAAGTATAGAGATATCAAGATACATAGCATATTATATTAATGCAGAAGCCAATAAAAGATTAGATTCACTCCTCTTTGTAAACTTCAAGTTACTTGCTACATTTCCTTCTTTGGGGAAAATTAAGACATTTCACATGGAAGCAGAACCTACAGATGTTAACAGAGGAAGCTGGTCTCCCAGCATAAGTTTTAGAAGCTTGCAGGAAAAGGAGAAAGCACAACTTTACTCATAATATCTATGTCACATCCGAAAAGCAGCAGCCAATATCCTTCTAGCCATATTCTCCAACAACAAGAAATTCCATAGATCTGTTCTCTTCCATTTGCAAATGACCATACCCATGCAGGATTGCACTGCTAGAGATTAACTGTGCACCAGACACATATATTTTCATTGCTCCCACATATTCACCTAGCTGCCTTTAAAAAAGTTTTCACTTTTCGCTTGATGGTCAATCTTTGCACCTTTGCAATTTCTAGGCTCTATCGGCTTTTGTAATTATTTATAAATGGTTGCACACTTTTTATAGCAATTCAGCTTTTCAGCTGGGAGTCCCAACAAAATTGTGCTCAGCACATGCTTTGTACATGAATGGGACTAAAATTCCTATGCAGATCAACATCAGCCAGCTAAACAAACCATGCTGATCTGTCTGTCTTCTCAGGGCCTCACAGGGTTAGGCAAAAAAGTGCTGGTTGTACACACACAGGGAATTTTATTAAATTATGAATGTAACAGAGCCAGAGTAAAACCTATATTTGGCCCAAAACTATCACTAAAGCCATGACATGGTGGCATCAGAAAGGAAGCATTTGGACACCACTAACAGCATCAAGGGCACTCCTTGCAGTCAATCTTTTCCTGGTTAGGAGAAGCAGCAGGAGACAAGTCCCAGTAATACATGCTTTCATAATGAAGCAGCAGCCAGCTCCAGCTCCTGATGGCCTGCTCCATGCTCTTTTGATGAGCCACGTGCTTTGGGCTTGTAGCAGCATAGATTGATGGCTGAGAAATACATGTTTACCAAATAGCCAGGCATGAGGCCCATGCAGAGTCCCAGCTCTGCAGCTGGTAACATTTGTGAACTCTTGCCTCTCCCAGGTTTTCACGGAGAACCAGCATTATTACTTACTGATAGCAGTTACGTGGCAACTAAGGACATACCTACCATGCGCCTCAAGGCAATTATTGCAAA